ACCAAGGGGAGACCATGGCGGGGGCTTTGAGGATCAGGCTCTCTTCTTGTGGGCCGCCACTTCCAGGCGCCCCTCGCGAGAACAGTGCTGTAGGAAGGAGCCAGCTGCTTGCCTAAAGGAAGCGAGGAGGAAGGAAGGGCCCGGACCTGAGCCCCTGCAGTGACTTCCTCGGGGGGGGGGGGGGGGGGAAGTGAGGGCCACGGCAAAGCCCCTTACCCGTAAAGCAGGGCGTGGTCCAGGTGTTCGCAGAGACGCTGCAGGACCGTGTCGTGGTTTCGGATGGCGGGGGTCTCGTCCTCGCAGGCGGCAAAGTAGCTCTGCAGCTGGAGGGAGGAACACATCTGGTGAGGGAGCCACCAACCAGGCAGCCTGGCTGTAATCCACGCAGGCGCAGGAGGTCCCCACTTTCGGGGTTTCAGGAGCGATAAGCTGAAAACGTAATTGCTTCTCCTGCCTAGAGTTGCATAAGAGACGTCCGCCGACCTTCGGTTCTGGCTGCAAGGCCCAATAAAAGACCTACCTCACCCCGGCCAAAGCAGAGCAGTGGCCCACGGGATGCTACAGGCAATCGACTTACAACCATTCAGCGACCACTGGGAAAAGTTAACTTATGACCGGTTTTCACGCTTACAACCACTATGGCATCCGCAGAGTCACATGCTTAAAATTCAGAAGCTGGGTGCGTCCTAAAGCAGACAGCTGCTCCTCCTTGCCCAGGGAACAAGGAGAGCTGTGTTTCCCCAGGGCCACGATTCCCAGCCACACCTTTACGTGTCCTGGCTAGGCCCGAGAAGGAGTGGCAGCCAAGCCTGATGGTGCCTCAGCTCCGGAGAGAACCGCATGGCTGCCCGGGGGCAGAAGAGCAGCCAGGCTCCCCAAGCGACGCACCTCAAATGGCACCAGCACAAAGGACTCAGCCACCCCCCAGCACTGTCTAGCTGCTAGGGGGGTGGGGAGAAGCTCTGCTCCTGCCTGTCCCATAGCATCCCTGAGGCTGCAAGACTCTCAGGGCAAGAGAGGCAGCGCCATCGGAGACAACAGCCTGGAAGCCAGCAGTGGCACCTGGGTCCGCTAGTCCTCACAACACAAAGCAATCCAGTGGTTGCGGGACCGACACACGCAACCACAAACGGCCTTGCCATTGAGGAAACTCAGCTGCTGCTTCTGTGGCTCTCGCCCAGGTCTGAGGAGATGAAAGCAGTGATTAGGGGCCCTCAGATCTTATGCAGGGGCCTCACAAGTTGGACAAGTGAGAAAACATTTGCCAGGCAAGATCTTCCTGTTCTGTATAGCACAGGGGTCAGCAATCCCTGGGTCTGGAGCCGCATGTGGCTCTTTTATCCCTCTGCTGCAGCTCCCTGTTGCCAGTTAGCTGCACAATTGATAGGGCTTTCGGTTAGGACAGGTAGAGGAAAAAGGACGCCATACTAGGAGGAGACTCTATGGTGGGGGAACCGGAGCTCCAGTCAGCAGAGGAAAAAGAACGCTGTGCTAGGAGGAGACTCTATGGCGGGGAAACTGGAGCTCCAGTCAGCAGAGGAAAAAGGACACTGTACTAGGAGGAGACTCTATGGCGGGAGAACCAACGCTCCAGTCAGCAGAGGAAAAAGGATGCTGTGCTAGGAGGAGACTCTATGGCGGGGGAACCGGAGCTCCAGTCAGCAGAGGAAAAAGGACGCTGTGCTAGGAGGAGACTCTATGGTGGGGGAACCGGAGCTCCAGTCAGCAGAGGAAAAAGGACGCTGTGCTAGGAGGAGACTCTATGGTGGGGGAACCGGAGCTCCAGTCAGCAGAGGAAAAAGGACGC